GGTTACGGAGCCAGCCACATATACTGAGGATGGCAGGTTCAAACCTGGCCCAGGCCTGCCAAACAACAATGACAACTACAACCAAATTAAGCCCAAGAGTTGGAGGTTGCTGTGAGCTGTGGCGCCACAGCACTCTACTGAGGGCGATATGGTGAAACTCTGTCTCAAAAAAAAAGAAAGAGAGAAAGAAAGAAAAACAATAAAAAGAAATCACTGACAAAACTGTGTGGTTTGTAATATAATTGATTTTCAGTTTAATATAAGCGCCTTATCTCATCATGACCAGAAGTAGTGTGTGGTCCACACTTTTGAGAAGAGTTTATAAACAATTACAAGGAATAGGGAGAAAATAGTAAATATACCTCAAATATGCGAGGCACTTGGTGAAAACGAGTTGCAAAAAGCTGCGTCCTACTGAGAGAAGAGTGGAAAGGAGGATGAACATCATAGATAAAAACGAGCAGCAAGGCGCGGCGCCTGTAGCTCAAGTGGGTAAGGCGCCAGCCACATACACCACAGCTGGTGGGTTTGAATCCAGCCCAGCCCGCCAAACAATGATAACTATAACCAAAAAATAGCCTAGTGTTGTGGCGGGCACCTATAGTCCCAGCTACATGGGAGGGTGAGGCAAGAGAATCACTTAAGCCCAGCAGTTGGAGGTTGCTGTGAGCTGTGATGTGACAACACTCTACCCAGGGCGATGGCTTGAGGCTCTGTCTTTAAAATAAAAAAAAAAAAAAAGGCAGCAATAGGGAGCCTGAGACAGGAATGCTAGTTTAGATGAGAATCTGAGCTAAAAGCTTAAACTGGGGGGAAAAATACGGATCAGAATGGTAAATCCAGAAACCAAGTAGAAGAATTTGACTACTATAGTAGATTCGATATAGTAGGATAGTTACACTAGAAAATCTGCTGAAGCCGGGCATGGTAGCTTACGCCTGTAATCCTAACACTTTGGGAGGCTGAGGTAGGAGGATTACTGGAGGCCAGAAGTCTGCCATTGCAGTGAGCTATGTTTATACTACTTTACTTTAGACAGGGCAACAGAACAAGACACTGCAGCTTTACATTTACAACAAAATTAAGTGGAAGGTACACAGATTTCCCATGTAAGCACATTATCCCCACTATCAATATCCCACACAAGAGTGGTACATTATAATCAATACACCTACACTGACATGCCATTGTCACCCAAAGCCCATAGTTTACATTATGGTATACTCGGTATTATACATTCAGTGCGTTTCAACAAGTATACGACACATATCCACCAAGATAGTATCACATACAGTAGTTTCATTGCCCTAAAAATCCTGTGTTCAGCCTATTCATCCCCTGCTCCCCCATGATCTTTGGCAATCACTGATCCTGTACTGTCTCCACTGTGTTGTCTTTTCCCAAATGTCACACAACTGGAATCATAAAACATAACCTTTTTCTTTTTTTTTTTTTTTTTTTTGAGACGGGGCCTCAAGCTTCCCCCCGGGGGAGGGGGCC